GAGCTGATCCGTGCTGGTTGCTGAGGAAATATATCAACTTCGCGCTGTGGATCGCCGGATTGGCTTTCACCGTGGACGAAGCGGAGTCCAGCCCGGGGTCGTCACATGTGGTTGCCGCAAGCCCTCCGGCCGCGCCGTTCTCTAATCCACCACCTCTGCTCACTCTAGACCTCCGGCCGTTCCTCACTCTAGCCCCCGGCCTCTGCTCACTCTAGGCCACCGTGTGTGACGCTGTGTTTCGTTGTGAAAGCAAAACTACTTTGTTTGGCCTTCCAAAAATGGACACGACTAGAAATCAGTGGTTAAGTTGTATTTGCAACACTGTTCCAGAACACTTCAACCCAAATATTCAGATGTGTGCAGCACATTTTATGGAGGACTGTTTCCTGATCCTGGTAGAGTAGACTACAATGCCGGCTGTTCTGACTCACGGACTGTAAGTACGTTTTTTTATATTTAAAGCGAGTTTTTTGGGCAGTGTAGAGTAGGGCTTGTTGTTTGTCATTTCTCCGATCACAAATGCAGACATGGTTTTATGTTTACGCAGCGCGATGCAACGCAGCGCGTAAAAAGACAGTATAAGTCATTATAATCCATAATTATGTCCCCACTGGATGCAACGAATGCCTCGTTTATAATGGGTTTTCATGTTTTTGAATCATCGCTCCGGCCTGACAGGGCATCATCACAATATGGTAAGGGGCGTAACATTTCCGTCACACGCTTGAGGTATTCGGCCAATCATAATGCACTGGATAGCTGGCCAATCACAGCACACCTTGCTTTTCAGACAGATGAGCTTTGTAAAAATCAGCGCATTTCAGAAAGGCGGGGCATAGAAGAGAAACAATAATGTACAGTATGTGGAAAATAATGTGTTTTTTGAACCTTAAACCGCATAAACACATTTCATTACACCAAATACACAAAATAATGTTCTTTTTAGCAACATCATATGACCCCTTTAAAATGCACACTGTCGTCTATGGAAGCAGAAAATTAATCTGACATAATAATAATAATAATAATAATAACAATAAACCCCTTCGAAATTAAATTGATGACATTTTATTCATGCTAGAAACACATTGTGTATGTATTGTACCAGTCAAAAGTTTGGAATAATTAAAAAAAAAATGTTTATGTGTTTGAAAGAAGTCCTTAAGCTCACCAAGGCTGCATTTATTTGATTAAAAAAAGTACAGAAAAAAACAGTAATTTTGAGAAATATTATTACAATTTAAAATAACTGTTTTCTCTTTTAATATACAGTATATAGAACATGTAATATTCCTGTTATGGCAAAGCTGAATAAATTACTCCAGTCTTCAGCATCACATGATTGTTCAGAAATCATTCCAATATGCTAATTTGGTGCTCAAGAAACCTTTCTTATTATTATCAATGTTGAAAACCGTGACACACTACCATAAAAAAGTACTTTCATTCAGCATGAACTGAAATTGATCAAAAGTGACAGTAAATACATTTATTTTATTAAAAAAAAATTGTTGATAAATTTACCTACCTGGTCGACAGACTCTGATTCTATGCATTGCAATGTAAGCTAACATGATTTTAAACTTGCGTGTGAAAGTTAAAAATTGCTGTAAATTGAAAACATTGAAAATTTGTGACAGAAATGAACTTCAGTACCTGCCATTGAATTCTGTTGTTCTGAAATGAAGCAATTCATAATTACTGTAGTCTAACCGTAACTTTAAAGGGGTCATATGATGCAATTTCAATTTTTCCTTTCTCTTTGGAGTGTTACAAGCTATTGGTGCATAAAGAAGATCTGTAAAGTTGCAAAGACTAAAGTCTCAAATCCAAAGAGATATTCAATAATGTTCTTTTTAGCAGCATCATATGACCCCTTTAACCATGAAATTTTGTGAAACATTTTGTTCTACAAAGCTGGAAAAACTTGTCACATGACAACATCTGAAAGACACACATTTACTTACAAAAGTAACTTTAGTCTTCTTTTTTAATAATGTAGTAATATTTTGGTTTTTGTTCTATTTATGTGTTTTTCTCTCTGGCAGAGCTACATCCAGAGTTTTCGGGACAGACAGGTGGATGGACGTGCTTATCCTGTGGGTGGGCTGGTGGCTGCGGGTCACACAAGTGTGGACATGGACTATGACTGTGGATCCAGGGTCCCTCTCACTTCTGGGGTCGGACCACATGTTCGGGTCTGACCACACTCACTTCTTGACAAAAACACATACACACACTCTCAAATCCGGTGCTGACCTGACCCTGGGTCCCGCACACACAGAGGCTTGGGTCTCCTCACCATTCAGAACCGAACAATGAAAGCACTTCTAACTATAATACTGGACGCATCATTCCGAGACCATGGTTGTATTAAAGAGCTGCTTTAACACACTCAATTACACTAACACACTTTACCTGAACATGTGCCTGAGACGTGGCATTCTGTTCACCTAATACTAAAACCATCATGAGGTGGTCAAAAAAAAAAGTAATCTGGGCACCATTCTGTCAAATTATTTTCTAAAAACGTCTGTGGTGAATTAGCATGTTGCCCATTCATGAATGTTTCACGATATTGCATTTCTGTTTGTGACAAATTGATCAGTTGGTGCTGAATCTTGTCTTTGTACTACAACGCTGACTGCCATTTTGAAGTCAGCCATTCCTCCTCGCATAGTAAAGTCTGTGGATTCCACCAGTCCGTGTCTGTACTGTGAGATCCTGCATTCCAGCCCAGGACTGTACCAAATACCGTCGAGCAGGGGTGCCTTCGAGACACCACTAAAAAACTCTCTCAGGAGAATCTAACTCCTTAGCCTTGTTTCAGAAAGGCTGTAGGGCAAAGAGCCATATTACTGCTGACCAGAGCCACCTGGTCCACTCTGGGATGCAGAGCTGAATGCCTGAACGAGGACAAGATGGAGGAAAAGAGCGAAGATGATACTCAGGGACAGCGTGAATGTTTTGGAATATTGGGGAAAGATCTATAAAGTTCATGGACAAAGAATGATGATGCAAAAACTGTAGATTTTTCCCCTCGGATGCGAGCGCAACGGATGTCACCATGAGCGTTCAGTTACTGCTGTGTATAAACCTAGTTTGCAAGTGAACATATAGGGTGTCCAGGAGGACATGATGGTTGAGGAGCAAACATCCTTCTTAAAAGACCCCCACAATCCTTTGGGGCAAACTGCATGGCATAAACACCCCCATTTTCCTTTCCACAATGCGTTTTCAGGCCCATCTTCATACAGACAATAGAAATGAGCAGTTTCTGCCATGGTGTCTCTTTCTTTTTTTTTCTTTTCTTTTTTTTTTTATTCTGCAAAGCAGAACATTCTATGCTATGTACATAAAATTTACATTTAGTATATCCATTTTAACATGGTCTCTCATATTTATTAGATATTGGTTTATTTCTAATTAATTGTTTTTCAAGGGATTCCGAGTCCCAACAAGTGAATGGATGGTGGTATTTATTAGGTTGTTTGTTTGTTCAGTTTTACATGCCTAGTCATGTTTTCTTTATAACTAACCGTCTGATAACAGAGTGTAGTCTTAAAGACAAAAAGTCTTAATGCAATGAAACCTTTGACAATCTGACATCAACCTTTTTTTTGTTTGTTTTTTTGGACACTGTACAACAGCATGTGTTTGTATGGGCCTGGTTATTATGGTAAACTTTGTGAATTCACTGTGTCTCTTGTGATCATTCATCTCTCTGTTTCTGTCTGGGCATATTTATACTCGTGTATAGGTGAACAGATGCACACAGAAACACAAACACACAGAGAAAACATTATGGAATGTGTTGGCTTCGGTATCTTTAGTTTATTTCTTTTTTTCTTATGCTTGGCATCATCCTTACAATTTTCTCTCTGCCTCTGTTCTCTCAATTTAATGCACTCCCCTCTTTTTCCTTCCTTTACTATTTCTGTCCTTTTACCTTACATCTACCTCACATTCTTCCAAACTGACATATATAACTGGACTAAAAATGCTTAAAAATACATATTTTAAAAGAATGTGATCACTCTCTTCTCCCACTCATGCAGATGTGCTCATATCACTTTTAGGATGTGTGGAAAAACAAAAGAAAAGTACAGAGTATGAAAAAATGTCCTAACGGTTTTATTTTCATCTTGGTTTGATTCTTTGGTTGCCGCTCCTTTTCTGAGGTTTACATGATGTCCTTCTGGTGTTGTGTAGATTCACTCAGCACCTGTAGGGGGCAGTAGACATTTAATTTCAAAGACGGACTTCATCACCTCTTTCTGTCGCAAGTCAATTTGTGAGGAAATCACTCCTGCAAGGATTTTTTTTTTTTTTTTTTCATTTTTTTTATTGATTTATCTTATTTAAATACTGTAATAAAATATATTTAAGTTTTACTTAAGTAGTTTAACCACAACTTTTTACTGCACCAAAAATTAAAAGGGTTAGTTCACCCAAAAATGAAAATTCTGACATTAATTACACACCCTCATGTCGTTTCAAACTCAGATTCCATCAAAAATATCTTAATTTGTGTTCCAAAGATGAACGGAGGTCTTACGGGTTTGAAACGACATGAGGGTGAGTAATTAATGACAGAATTTTCATTTTTGGGTGAACTATCCCTTTAACCTAATATTGCAAAGGATATTGAGGTTGAGGTTATATGAACGAATGAATGAAGAAGAGCACACTTGGATGAACTGAAATTTTGTGTGTGTGTGTGTGTGTGCGCATATCACACCTCCCCATCACGCGTCTCAATGGTCTTGATCAGGACGGTTTTCTTTGAGTGCATTTCAGATGTTCTCTGTTGGTGCTCTGGACTTGTCTCTGTTGAAAATTATGTTTAATAATAATAATAATAAAACACACACACACACACACATATATATATATTACAAATCAAACGTTTGGGGTTAGTAGGACTTTTTTAATGTTCTTGAAAGAAGTCTAATGCTCACCAAGGCTGCATTTATTTGATAAAAAATATAGCGAAAAGATTAATATTGAGAAATATCGATGTTGCAATTATGAATAACTGCTTCCTAATTTTATAATGTAATTTGTATGCAATAATAATATTCCTGTGATGGCAAAGCTGAATTTTCAGCAGCCATTACTCCAGTCTTCAGTGTCATATGATCCTTCAGAAGCCATTCTAATGTGCTGATTTGCTGCTCCATAAACATTTTAGTAACACTTTACAATAAGGTTCTATATTAGTAAACATAGTTCATGCATTAACTAACATTAACTAAGAATGTGCAGTTCATTTGTTACATTATTTATTCATCTTTTTAAATGTTAATAAAAATACAATGTTATCTCAGGTCCATTAAGTAATATTAACAGATACAACTTTTGATTTTAATAATGTATTAGTAAATGTTGAAATTAACAACAACTAATAAATGCTTTATGAGTATTTTTAACTGTTAGTTAATGTTAACAAAAAGAATCTTATTGTAAAGTGTTACCAGCATTACATATTATCTATGTTGAAACTAGTTGTAACTGCTTAATATTTTTGTGGAAACCTTACATTTTTCAGGATTTTTCAGGATTCTTTGATTAATAGTGTTCAAAAGAACAGCATTTATTTGATGTAGAAGCCATATAGTGTCATTTTGATCAATTTAATGCATAAAATAAAAGTTTATATAAAAGTTTTAATTTCTTACCTTTTCAAATAAATAAATATTACCAAACCAAAATATTTAAAAATATAATATAAATTATAATACCTGTATTAAACTTTAATTTAAATCACAGTTCAACTCATGTTTTGTTATAATAATAATGTTTTTTTAAAATATATATATATATATATATATATATATATATATACACACACACACACACACAAGACGTCACGAAATGCATGAATCTGTACAGTTAGTCAGGTACAACGCCTGCCAGTGACCTCTGAGGAAACACATCTACATCATTTCTAGTATAACTATCACAAGGTTTCCATCTTACCTCTAAAGCTTATAGTGGAATATGACTGCATGGGCATCACAATCCTTTAACATGAGAGAGGAAGAAAGATAAAAAGTAACAAAAAGCCATCAGAATAAGCAGAAAGTAGGAGTATGTTAAAAACAACAAAGATCTGTTTCATTTCCTTTGTACCTGCTCTCCTCTCCTTCTAGCAGCTTCCTGTAGGTGGCGATCTCCACATCCAGGGCCATCTTAATATTGAGCAGGTCCTGATATTCTCGCAGGTGACGTGCCATCTCGTCCTTCATGTTAGCAATCTCTGCCTCCAGCCTGGCGATGGTGTCCTGGAAACCACCAGCTTCACGACCGTGGCGATCCTCCATATCTCTCATTTGCCTCATGAGAGACTCGTTCTACAGAGTGAGAGACGAAGAGATGAATGCCATATGGAGAAAGACGAAGAACATGTATATCCATCACATCGGACAGAACAGATAAACATACGGTGCCCTTGAGGGAGTCGATCTCACAGGTGTAGGACTGGATCTGGTGTCTGTACTCCATGGTATCCAGCTTGGCTTGTTTGAGAGCCTCGTTGTTCTTGCTCACTGCCTGGTTAAGGTCTGACACCTGATGGTGAAAATGGAACGATCAAAGATCAGCAGATTTTCCTTTTTGTGTCTCACTTAGCTCAGTAGTCCCTGTTGAAAAAAACAGCATATGCTGGTTAGGTATGTTTTGAAGCATGGCTGCTGGTTTGAGCTGGTTTAAGCTGGTCAGTTGGAGCAGTTGGGGGTTCGATGCCTTGCTCAAGGGTCTCACCTCAGTCGTGGTATTGAAGGTGCAGACAGCGCTGTGCATTCACTCCCCGCACCTACAATCCCTGCTTGTACCGAGACTTGAACCCGCGACTTTTGGGTTACAAATTTGATTCTAACCATTAGGCTACGACTGCCCTATATGATCACCAAATCTTGGATTCAATTTTGAAGTCAGCTTGTTTTCTTTCGGTTAGTTTTAGAGTGAAAAAAGCATTATTTGTGGATTATTTTTGCAATGTTCACTCAAAATCTGAGTGAATTAGCTCAGGTCAGTGAAGCCTATGATCAATTAAAAAAAAGAAATAAAAAACCTGTTTTAATTGAAAGAAAACAAGTTGATTAAAAGAATGAATCCAAGATTTGGCAATTAAATAGCATAATTAGAAATGTATAAGCAATTGTTTTAGACAGGTCATTTTTGCTTGGGAACACCACAAGTTTAATAAGGTGGGGAAAATGTATAAGAAATACCCCCCCACCCCCAAAAAAAGGGGTTAGTTGTTATACCCTGTGTGAGCAAAGTCACTGAGTTTTAGTTCAATGCAATAACATTAACTAGCATTTTCAGGAAAAAGGAAATCCTCTCCGGGTCAAACTGATCGGAACACAACATGAGGGTTAAAAAAAGTAGTTAGCTACACTACAAGTTTATAACTTAAAAGTAGCTACAAGTTACTAAAAAGTTGGGGTAAAACTTTTAAGGACTGGCACAGAAGGCCCCAAGTAGCATGTTGTTACTAGTGTTATTTTTTTTATTTAGGATTTATTGTAATTCATGGGGTTATTCAATAATTCCATGAGATAGACAGCTTCACTTTTCAATAAAACCTATAGGCTAATTGAGAGAAATAATTTGATTTGAATTTATAGTGTTACTATTATGACATATCTTAAGTTAAAATATGGGCAGTTACATATGTCAACATTGCAACATATTCATATTCCTCTATATAAGTCATAGAATAAATTTACCTTTCAGATTAATCTTTTATTGGGATTCTGCTTTGTCTGTCAACAGTTACTAAAAATGTAACTAAATTGTCAAAGCACAGTTGTAAATAAGAGTTGATTTAGTATTTTATATTAATGACACTTTAAAATATATATAATATTAATAAAAATATCAAAAGTCATTTACACGTTCTGTAACAGTTTACCCTAGGCAGTGGGCCAACTTATCTGAGTAGTGGGGTAAGATTGTTTATTTAAATAATTTTACATTTTGTTCTATGAAAACTAATTCAGCAAATGTTTCTTTTTATTTCCCTTAATAACACTATTTATATCCCTTACATGTAAATGCACATTGTTCTTAAGGGTAGACTGGTTGAGGTCTGATACCTGATGGATAAAATCAGCACGTTCTTCTTTCATTTCTTCTGTCTCACCTTTGACTTGTACCAATCCTCAGCCTCTGCAATGTTCTTTGCAGCGATGCCCTCATACTGAGCACGGATGTCCCTCAGGGCAGCAGTCAGGTCCGGTTTGGACATGTCCATCTGGATTTGGACTTGAGTCTCTTGCATTTGGGCCTGCAGCTCACGGATTTCCTACACACAGAGAAAGAAAACGTTTGTGTGTATGTGTTTGTGCTTGTTTTAATAAAGCAGCATGACATTGCTGATAGGACTAGTGGCAGGACTAATCTCAACAGAGGTCTGTGATGCTGTTTTAAAGTAGCTGTGTAATCTCCAGGAACAGATGCAGCTCTATAAAAGAGCTCTGAGATACACTCAGCTCAGCAGTGTTAGGGAAGCTACTTTGAAACTCTAACTTTCAAAGCTTTAAGCTACTTGTAATTGAAAACTACAGTGAAGCTACTTCTTTTGGGGGGGGAACTACACTACACGCTACTAATACGTTGCTAACTACAATGTAGCTAGACCGAAGTTCTTTATGGAGAGTACTTTAAATATAAAACGAATAAACTGTAAAATTGTTCCCACTTTATATTACGTGTCTTTAACTACTATATACTACTATGTAAAAAGAATTGTGTGGTACTGTGTATTTACTGTGTTCAAAACTATTTTGCTGCTATTGAGGTGGAATACAAGTAAGGTTAGGAATTGTAATTACATTAATGTATTTTTTAAACGTAAGTACAATGTAAAAACATGTATGTACATAATAAAAAAGGAGAGGGTCTGAATTACGGTGACAACATTAAACAAGAATAGGTAAATTTATATGAAATACTAAAAAGTAAACTTCATTTTACTTCATTTTAAAAATAATTACTTTTACTTAGTAATGCATTTTATTTATGCATTAAACTGAGCAAATGTGACATTAAAGACATTTCTGATGTCACAAAAGATTTCTATTTCAAATAAACTCTTTTGAACTTTATATTTCAAAGAATCCTGAAAAAAAAAAAGATCACAATTTCCAATAAAATTAATAAGAAGGGTCATGTGATTCAGAAGACTGGAGTAATGGCTGCTAACAATTAATCCATCAAAGAAATAAAATACATTTTAAAATATATTAAAATAGAAAACAGAATTTTTCAAACTGTAATAGTACTTCACAATGTGCTATTTATTAAAATATTTCCTGAATTTTTTGATTAAATAAATGCATCCTTGGTAAGCATAAAAGACTATCAAAAACATTTAAAAAAAGTACCTAACCCAAACTGAATTTGAATTTGAACGGTAGTATAACTGAGTCTTAAGTATTGTGACAAATAGCAGAATTTAACTAAATATTGCATTACAAAAAAGTTTTAAATGTCATACAGGGTCCTAAGTAAAGAGACTCAAATTAATTATTGAATCAGTGAATCATTTAACCTTTTTCCTGAAGAGATTAATTTGCACGAGCTGTCTAACACACTGGTAAATACGAGATGAAGTTGCATTTCTTCTCATGCGTATCGCGTGGCTTTTCAGTTTCGGTTTGCTAAGTAGTAAGGCATGGCCTAAGCCAGGTAAAGTACTTATTTACTGTGTTTGCAAGCACTTGTTAGAAGAAACAGTCGAGCAACAGAAGAGGACAGCAGCTTGTAATGTGTTTTCCTAACAATCTGCGCACTGTCCCTATGTCTCTAATACTTTACTCTCTATTCCAATTGGTCTCTGGAACTGCTGTAAACAAAGCAGACTTTATTTAATCCATTACTACTTATGCAAGTCACAACCTCATGAGTCACAACCCAACTGAGACTTGGATCAAACCTGAGGACTGCCACTCCTGCAGCCCTCTCCACTAATTTTACTTTTTTCCACACCCCTCGCTCGATTGGAAGGGGTGGAGGTACTGGTCTGCTTATCTCAAATGAATGGAAATTTGATCTTTTACCATCTCTTACTGGCAACAGTTCATCTGAATCACACGCAATTACTATTACCCACCCTGTTAAAATCCACTATGTACTTGTTTATCGTCTCCCAGGTCAACTGGGTAACTTCTTGGAGGAGTTGGATGTGTTACTCTCAAACTTAGAAAACCCCCAAGCTGCTGACTTCAACACTCTGCTTGCCTCATTTGACCTCAAGTGAGTGTCTACTATGGCTTCTCACAAATCAGGTAACCAATTATCTACACACCTTAATGACCTTATCTATACATGCTACTGCTCCACTGACACCACTTTAGTTACTCAGTTGCACACCTCAGACAACTTCCTCATCACTATTAACCTCAAACTGACTCCCGACACAACACACACTCCTCTGCAGGTAACCTTTTGGCGTAACCTACGCTCACTCTCTCCCTCTCGCCTATCCTCATGTACATTGCTCTAGTCTCAGGGATGCTAGTGGTGCAAATCAAAAAACTACTGACCTTAGTGTGTATCAGTCACTCCTCTCTTCCTTCTCTGCAAATGTCTCCCCTGCTAAAACAACAAACTACCACAACAAAATTAACTATTGTTCTGACTCTCGCACGCTTTTCAAAACCTCCTCCTCAGGCTCGGGTAACCCTACTGCTCAAGAAACCCTCTCTAAATCCAGCACTTTTAGAAAACTACAGACCGGTATCCCTTCTTCCATTCATTGCAAAGACACTTGAGCGATGTATTCAACCAACTCTCTATGTTTCTCACAGTACAAACTTCTGATCAGCAATCTGGCTTCAAAAGTGGCCACTCAACTGAGACTGCCCTGCTCTCCATTACTGAAGCCCTGGGACTGGCAAGAGCAGCTTCCAAATCCTCAGTACTCATCTTCCCTTCTTCCATTCATTGCAAAGACACTTGTGCAAGTTGTGTTCAACCAACTTTCTATGTTTCTTGCACAGAACAACCTCCTGGACAACAACCAATCTGGCTTCAAAAGCGGCCACTCAACTGAGACCTGCTCTTGGTTACTGAAGCCTGGCAACAGCAGCTTCCAAATCCTCAGTACTCATCTTGCTGGATCTGTCTGTTGCTTTTGACACAGTTAACCACCAGATCCTCCTATCCTCCCTCATGAAGATGGGCATCTCAGGAACAGCACTCCAGTGGTTCAAGTCTTACCTCTCAGGTAGGTCCTTCAGGGTGTCTTGGAAGGGTGAGGTTTCTAAGTCACAACTTCTTGATACTGGAGTTCCTCAGGGCTCAGTGCTTGGACCGCATCTCTTCTCCATCTACATGTCATCATTAGGATCTGTCATTCAGAAACATGGCTTTTCCTATCACTGCCATGCTGATGATACTCAACTCGACTTCTCATTCCAACCAGATGATCCGATGGTAGCTGTTCACACTGCAGCCTGTCTGACAGACATTTCTGGCTGGATGAAGGACCATCACCTTCAATTCAACCTTGCTAAGACAGAACTGCTCGTGGTCTCAGCCAACCCAGTACTTCATCATAACTTCTTTATACAGCTAGGTTTTTCAACCATAACTCCTTCCAGGACAGTCAGGAACCTTGGAGTTGTGACTGATGATCAGTTAAGCTTCACAGATCATATTGCTACAACGGCCCGGTCCTCCAGATTTGCCTTATACAACATGAGGAAGATTAGACCCTTCCTATCAGAGGAGGCCACACAACTCCTTGTCCAAGCTCTTGTTCTCTCTAGACTGGACTATTGTAATGCTCTCTGGGCGGGCCTTCCGGTACTATCAAGCTATTGTACTATTGTACTATCAAGCCTCTGCAACTGATCCAGAATGCATCAGCGAGAGTGGTCTTCAACGAGCTGAAGAAAGCCCACGCTACACCTCTCTTTACCAGTTTGCACTGGCTGCCAATAGCTGCTTGCATTAAATTCAAGGTACTGATGTTTGCCTGCAAGACAACCACTGGCTCTTCACCAATATACCTAAACTCCCTAATTCAGAATTATGCGCCCTCCAGAAGCTTGCATTCTACAAGTGAACGATGCCTTGTGGAGGCACAAAATCACTCTTACGGACCTTTGCCTGGACTGTTCCCAGCTGGTGGAATGACTTGCCAATTCAACATCTCAGTTTGAGCAGCTGAGTCTTTAGCCATTTTCAAAAAACCTCTAAAGACTTTTTCATCAGCACCTGACCAATTAATACTAGCACTTACCTATTCTATTCTATTTTTTATTTATTAAACAAATTGCTACATGTACTGTGCTAAACTAACTGAGACTTGTCACATCACTTTTATACTGTTGCTCTCTTGTTTGTCAGATTTTTTCTATATTGTTCTCCTCATTTGTAAGTGCTTTGGATAAAAGTGTCTGCTAAATTATTAAATCTAAATGTAAATGTAAATGTAAATGTGATTCACTAAAATGAACTGAAAGTTCAGTTCTAAATATTAAAATGAATCATTTTGATTTTGTATGAGACAGATGACCATCTGACTCACTGATTGTCTCATGAATCAGCCGTTGCAATACTACAAATAAATCAGTGAATCATTTTTTGTCTGAAGAAGGTGATTAATATCAGAGTTTGTATGAGGCAGAAGACAAACACGTTACATTTTAAGTTGGCTTGGCTGTAGGCTGTGTTTTAGAACATTTTATCGGCACAGACAATAACAATGAAACATCCTTAAATGTGCTGACCTCTTCATGGATCTTCTTCAGGAAGGCGATCTCTTCCTGGAGAGTCTCTATACGTCTTTCCAGATCCAGGCGGGCCAAAGTGGCAGCATCCACGTCCTAAGAGTGGATGTAATACCAAAATAAAACTATGCAACATTTTATTATCCATTACTAATTAGAAAATAAAACAAATGGAAATCAAGAGAGGGGGTTTGTGTTTTAGGGGACTCACCGCTCTGAAAGCGGCCAGATTATTCTCTGCCTCTTCCCTCAGTGCAATCTCCTCCTGAAGCCTGGTGAGAAGAAGAGGGAGAATGGGAGAAGGGAGTCATGTATCTCATATTTATTACAGCCAGCCTATTTCATTTCCTTTTATAGACTGAATGTTTACAGCAACCTCACACAAAGCTTTTCCCGCTGGAAGATGGAGTGGGGCCAGCACTTTTAGGCTAACTAACTCCTGAATAGGAAGTAAAGCTAGGATATTGTAAACAACATACTTGAAAGGACAATAGCTTCCTTTATAAAGGCAGTTTCCTTAAGCCTTTAATAAACTCTCTAGGCCTGATATAGCATTTTATTTGGCTTATGATTAATTGGTAGACCAGATGAAGTCATGTTTAATAATTTCTTAGCTTGGTCACTACAGAGACAGGCAATTTGAAACTGTTTTCAACATTAAAAAAAGAACACATTAGAGCTCTCTAGTGACCCTGAAACACCTGTGCCCAGCGGTCTCTCAGTGGTCTATCAAACCGACTATATAAATTATCTTATTTTCCAACTGCTTTTGTTTGTCCATATTTTAAGAAGACTGTCATCTTAACTCCTTCAACAGTTACATATATTCTATAAAAAAATTTACATTTTCCAGACTGTAGAGATACTTCATAAAATAAAGTACCGGTACATGCTTTTAATATAGCAGAACCTTTACTCATTCAATAAAGAAATTGCTTTAAATATAAACCGATATTTTCAATACGTGAAACAAATTTCATTTTAACTGGTCACTTTTCTCTCTTCCATTTGTTAAATAGTTCACAAGAATAACCAGTGCTCCTGTTGCTGTGAAATTGACACGTTGTGTTATGTGTGAATGCGATGTTTGCATTTCTCTCAGATTGTGTTATATTCGCTGTCTTGGGCAGCAGAGCGTGTGTGAGATGTTTGCTATGGGGAGAGATCATGTTCGTTACCTTGTTGGCTCTGAATGACTCTGGATTGTTATGCAATGTACTGTGTGTTTCTAAATATGAAACTCAAGAGTGGGTTGACAGCTTCAGTACCACAAAGAATACATGAATAAAATTTGCATGTATTTTTGAATGATCAAATAACATCTGTTTACAAGTGTACTCCTTTAAGCCCCTTTTTCTTTTGTACCATGCTAAAAATAAAAGGTTTCAGCAAGCTGGTTTGCTGGCCTGGCTAAGATGGTCTTCAGCTGATCTTTTTGGACTCCCGGTCTGGCCAAAACTCTTAAATATAAAGGTTCTTTATTGGCATTGATGGTTCCACGAAGTGGAAAATGGTTCTGTAGATTATTAAAATGTTCTTCACACTAAGAAAACATGTTAACATAAACTGTTAACTGAAAGGTTCTTCTGTGGCATCATTGCAAAAAATCCTTTTTGAACCTTTATTTTTAAGAGTGAAGCTGGAGTTTAGCTGAGCAGCCAACTGATTTCTTGCTGCCTGACCACCTGAAAAGACCCATCTAAAGCAAGCCAGACCAGCCCGACTGGACTGTTAAACCAACTTAGGCTGATTTAAGATGTTTCTTCCAGTATGGTATTCATGCTTCATGCATCTCACCTGAGTTTCAGTTTCTGCAGGTCATCTGCCAAGTTATCCCGCTCCACCTCCACACGTGATCTCTGACTGGTGACCACTTCGGTCTCTCTTCTCAGCTCCCTCATCTCATCCTCATAAAGGTCAGCAATCCGTGTTGGCTCCCGCCCCCTCAAGCGCTCCACCTCAATCACCATTGCCTGGTTCTGCTGCTCCAGCATGCGAACCTTCTCAATGTAGTTGGCGAAGCGGTCATTTAGGTGCTGAAGCTCAGCTTTCTCATTGGTGCGTGTTTGGAGAAACTCCTGGTTGAGTGCGTCGGCCAGGCTGAAGTCTAGCGTCTCACCCATCCCACCATAGGAACGGTTATAGCCCGCAGACAAGTTGGGCATACTGTAGGAGGAGGCTCGATAACTGGAGAATCCAGGAGAGGAAGTGGAGGCCTTGGTGACCTCGTAGACTCTGGAGTTGATCCGAGAGCTGCCAGACCCCCCGGTGGAGGCTCGGCCGAACATTGCACGGGACATTGGTGGCGTCAGGTAGCCGGGACCACCAAACATTCGACGGTATGATGAAGAGGATGAGGAAGAGGCATAGTGGCTCATGTTGGAGCACAAGAAGGACAGACCAGATGAATACAAACACCCTTCGGAGAGGACAGAGACAGAATGAGCGCATGGCATGCTCATCTGTGGCTATTTGTAGGCTTCTGGCCCCTCCCTTCCCAACTACCCCAAACTACTTCAGCCCATTTTCTCTATGCCGTACCATCTTCTCCATCCTAACCCTAACAAATCATTTCCCCCATTCTATCTCTTTCACTTACTGTTCAGCTGTCCCAACTCTTGGCACAAGAATACTGAGCTGATTAACTATAAACTGAGAGAGAGCTCCGACTATGCCCCTCATCACAGTGGTGAACTCATCATAGAAAATTAGCTGACTCTCTGCTGGCCAGACCAGCAAGCTTGGGAAATGAAACGTATGATTTTTTTTTATGACAAGTAAGATTTTTTTATTCCTTTTTCTAACTAAAGGGATAGTCCCCCCCAAAATGAAAATGGTGTCATAATTTACACACTCTCATGTAATTCCAAACCTTTTGGACTTTTGACTTTCTCAAAAAAAAAACCACAATGTCAAATGTTGTTTTAGACCCCACCCTCTTTAATTGTATATGCCAGGTTTATGAAGTTAACTAAAAACTAAACTAAAACAAAAATCATAAAAATTCCTTTACTTGAAATAAAAGAACTTAAATTTAGATAAAAAAAAAAAAAAACATTTATTACTTATTGTATTTCAGTTAGTTGCCAACATTTCTAATTTTCATTTAGTTTAACTTGATGCACTACAATAACTTAAAATAAAACTGAAATAAAAAAAAATATACATATAAAAAAACTAGACATATTTGAAAAGGGGAAAAAAAAACTCATACAAATGACAAAAACACACAACAAAATTGCTAAGACTGTGACTAAAATTAAAATGAAAACTGAAAAAAAAAATCCAAATAAAAACTAATTTAAAATAATAATACAAACTATAATAGCATCTCAATGATACTAAAATAACACTGGTATGGGCAAGAACGTATCAAACGGGATCTTTTTGAAATATGTGATCCTGGACCACAAAACCAGTCTTAAGTCGCTGGGGTATATTTGTAGCAATAGCCAAAAATACATTGTATGGGTCAAAATTACCGATTTTTCTTTTATGCCAAAAATCATTAGGATATTAAGTAAAGATCATGTTCCATGAAGATATTTTGTAAATTTCCTACCGTAAATATATCAAAAATGTATTATCATTAGTAATATGCATTGCTAAGGACTTCATTTGGATAACTTTAAAGGCGATTTTCTCAATATTTTGATTTTTTTTTGCACCCTCAGATTCCAGATGTTCAAATAGTTGTATCTCGGGCAAATATTGTCCTATCCTAATAAACCATACATCAGTGGAAAGCATTTCGGATGATGTATAAATATAAATTGTAAAAAAAAAAAATCGACCCTTATGACTGGTTTTGTGGTCCAGGGTCACCTATGTTCTTTTTGCAGAAAATCAGGATTGGAAAGACATGAAGGTGAGGGTAATGACGACAGAATTTTCCTTTTAGGTTGAACTATTCCATTTTACATTCCATTTATTGATCAGAAAAAAGCATTCACATTGAAATTCCATAAATTACCACACTGATGTCACTGCATCGCTCTGCCATTTGTAAATGTCCTGATAACAGCTTAAGAAAATGTCACATTCTAATATTGTTATTGCAGCACCTAAAGCTGGTAAACATATGAGCACAGACTGAGCAGAAGGTTTATCCAAGCTGCCTTAAAAAGGAAAGGCATGAACAGTAGAGGAGAAGATGCACGACTGTGTACCTTCTCTGGAAACAGCGGGGGAGATGGGGAGATGATCCTCTCCTCCTGCATTGGTAAACTCATTGCGTCATTATTGACAATGGCATTTGCCATGTGTCTATTGAAGGAGAGCAGATTTAAGATGTTAATACACCTCTGAATATAATATAATATAATATAATATAATATAATATAATATAATATAATATAATATAATATAATATAATATAATATAATATAATATAATATAATATAATATAATATAATATAATATAATATAATATAATATAATATAATATAATATAATATAATATAATATAATATAATATAATATAATATAATATAATATAATATAATATAATATAATATAATAATAAAAGTACGTTTCCCACTGGAAGACGTCTTTGAAACTCAAAAGTCAGAGTTCATTTGATTTAGAGACATGGTGGAGTTTGTTTAAAGTTGCAAATAATGCTATAAACCAGGGGTCTTTGACATTTATCAGGCCAAGGACTCTCTTTAGTGGACAAGATGGAGAGCACGGATTCCCTGTTACATACTGTATAAAACTCAATGTTGCATATAAATCCTTGCCTAAAATCGCATCTAGTACCATATTACTGTATTTATATTATTCTTACATTGCAAAGTCATTAAAATATTTATATACTTATAATTAATATAGTTTAGTTTTATTTAACACATTTTACTGTGGGAGGGACAATTAAACATTCTGAATTTTACCTTAACTTGGTTGACGTTAAAGGAATCGTTTACCCAAAAATCAAAATTTACTCACCCTCAGGCTATCCAAGATGCAAATATTATTTGGAGATATTTACCATTACATTACTTGCTCACTAATGGATCCTCTGCAGTGAATGGGTGCTGTCAGAATGAGAGTTCAAATAGTTGATAAAACATCACAATAATCCACAAGTAACCGACAGGACGCCAGTCCTAACGTCTATTTCTCTCCTGATTCAGACAAGATTTTTCACTACAGAAAGCAATTATGGATAGAGGACTCATTTTAGCCAGAAGCTACGGTTTGAAGTTAATACATCTTAATAATTGATTTGTTCATTGCAAACATACAGCTTTTTACTTCTCAAGATGTTAATTGATGGACTGGAGATGTGTGGATTACTTGTGGATTATTGTAATGTTTTTATCAGCTGTTTGGACTCTCATTCTGGCAGCACCCATTCACTGCAGAGAATCCACTGGTGAACAAGTGATGTAATTCTAAATGTTTCCAAATCGGTTTTGATCAAGAAACACACTCTACATCTTGGATTGCCTGAGGTGAGTAAATTTTAATTTTTGGTTGAACTATTCCTTTATTTTGGGGTAAACTTAATATTGCAATTTCTCTCCTGTATTTTCCTTATTTCACATTTAATATTTTGAAATAAAACTATTAGCATAGTTGTAGACTCCTGCTGAAAACTCCTGATTCAGACCTGCAGCATAGGAGAAATAATCTAAGATGTACATGTAATGACAAACCTATATGTTTCTGCAGATGATCATAATGCTGAAAAGCGGAGATCAAGGCCTGTTTTCATATACGATCTCTAATATTGTAAAGTGCGCATTTCAGATCTTTTGTAAGCTGATCAAATAAGGCATATAATTGTTACAAGCCTCTGGTGGCTCTCCATGGTTCTTCTCAAACCTATTTATAGACAGTGTAAGAGGACTGGAATTCCATAATTGCAAAAGCTTCTCTGGAAGCCTTCAGCTGACAGGAGAGAGAGACCACAGGTGACAGAGGATGTAAACATATCTTCTTTTCTTCTACTCTCCCACTCTCCTGTTTATTCGCCTTTTCTCCCATCCTCTTATATCTCTTTCAGCTCTATATAAGGTGTACAAGCCTCTGAGCTCAGCAAGTGATACTGAGAATGTTTGCTTTGATAAAATAATGAAGATAAGTGTTGTATTTAAAGGCGCTTTCAGCAATGGTTTTCTCCTTTAAATAGTGTGACACAAAAACCACGTGAACAGGGCATTTCTATTGCATGATGCTACAATCGCGCCTCTAGGTGTCAGTAAAGTCCAAGATGACTGATTTGTATATTTACTCTTTTTAATTTGTTAGCTGAATAAACACAAAATAAATGATGGCCAAAATCTATGAAATTATTATAAACTCAGAGGAGAGGTGTCTTTAAATCCATAGCAACAGACAAAGTTTCTGTTTTCTTTGAAACTGCTTTAATTAGAGTGTGACCTTTCACTATCAGGTGTTTATTATTATTCACATAGAAGCGGTGACATTCCACTTTTGTTCTGTGACTGAATAAAAATGTGCTGTGGCCAAAACCACGTCGCACCCGAAAAGTTCAGGGACATACAGCACATTGCTGTTCAATATCAATATCAATAGGCCTATCAAATAATCAGATATGAGCTTGAAATCTAGCAATTCATGCATTCGATCAAATATTTTCTTTGTTCCTTATTTAGAATGTTATAAGACAAATATGGAAATGATATGAAAATGTATATGAATATGCTATATGTTAATGAAGTTTTGTGAATTATCAGTGTAACTTCCTGCTCCAGGGCTGTGTGTGCTGCTCTTGTGTTGGGAAGTGGGTGGAGGTGGGGGAATCATGTTTCTAAATATTGTAGCCTATGCAACCCGGCAACAGTACACAGACATAGGCATACACACCTAACTATGTAAGTGCAGTTATTTTGTTCATGTACTCATCTCAGGACATTAAAATTATTTTATTTTATTTGTGGTTATTATATTTTGAGTGAAAGCGTTTCCTTGCGTTTCCATGGTTTACTTTCCCATAGCTGAATTATATTATATTATATTATATTATATTATAACCTACTATATTATATTATATTATATTATATTATATTATAACCTTTTAAAGTTCTTCTTCTTTCTAGCCCTAAAAGTGTCTGGGGGTCAGTCAGAGACCATAAATCAAAGAGACTCCAAACTTGGAAGGATGATCCCAAACGGCAGACAGACACACATCAGTCTGACACTAGGTGGCGCTATAAAAGGGCTATTTACGTTTTAGATAACTCTGGAACCGTAAGGGCTAGAAACAACATTCCTTTCAGTCCTTCAGTCAAACCCTACAAAACAAATATCTCTAATTTCATTCAAGTCAATTTTTCCACCATTTTAAATGTTCTAAAAAAATCAAAATTTTCCAACTCCTCCTAGGCGAGACCCTATTTTTTAAAAAAGTTAACATAATAATTTATGTGTCAGTTTTTTTGAAGGTAAAAGTCAATTCTGGTGCATTGCCTATT